TAAAATTCACACTTAAAATAAACACTTCTTTCGAATTTTTTACTTTTTACCTTCGTTACATGATATTTTTTATTTGTTTAGTTATTTATTGAATAAAATCAATATTAATCAATACCTGCACATAAGTCGACTAAGAAAAAAGTTACAGATGAAAATAAATCTTTTTGCATTTATTTTGTTGGAATTCTTTAATAAATAATTTATTCTCGTTAAATAAATAAATTATCCTTAAATATTTTAATGTTAATGATAACATAAGCTTAGGTAACGCCCCCGTCGAAGAAGTGCCTGTTTTAAGATCAAATTTGACAAATACAGACGTTCATTTATCGATTTTTTCACTTTTTGTCTTCGTTTCGTGATATTCTTAATTTTTCAATAAATACTATATTTTTATTAAATAAATAAATTACCTGGAAAAATTTTAAGCATAAGTAATACCTAATACATATGTTGGTTGAAATTTAAGTAAATATAATAGTATACTTTAAATTGACAAATGCTGTTAATGGTAGAACGTATAGAACGTAAATGCAGTTGTCCTGTTGAAAGCCCTTCTGGCAGTATTTTTGTATAGAAGAATTGGTCCTGCCAGAAGGACTCACACGCGTCGATATAATACCTTATTTTAGCATAATTATGGCAAAAGAATGAAACTAAAAATTCTATAGGACTCAAGGTTCCATCAGAATAACTCAGGAACCTAAAAAAGCATATTTTTCGATATTAGGTTGTGTAAAAATAACAATTGTAACTAAATCTTCTCCCTGCAAGATAATTAACTAATAAATACGAATTTGTATAATTTTTAACACTCCAATAACATGAAACATTATTCCTTCTTTTATATAATAACAATCCTTTACACATCCCTCTTCCAATATGTATCCCTTTTCCTGTTTTACATATACTTTTCCATTCTCCCTGTTATTTATCATCTCCCTAGGCTCATCCCAATTCTTTCCCAATACATGCAGCAAAGTTTCCTCTTCATTCCACATACTCTACATAGCATTTCACCTTCCTTCATTCATCTTCTACGTCCATTTCCCATTCCAAACCTTGATATCACATCCATCCCTTTTATTCCTTTTAAATGTCCTGACACACAATCCCTTTGTCAGTGCTCCCACATGCATCCTACATACATTATTATTAAACAATATTCCTTAGATCCAGATTTTTTATCATTTCGTCACACTTAACCCTCATCATCTCATCTACACACACACACACTTACCCTTTTCTACTCATTTAACTATTCTTGATCTAATTTCAATTCCCTAAATGCCTCCTCTCTTTCTTTCTCATAACTATTTTTTATACTTATTAATAATATTTTTCTCCTCCGCCTAAATATTTCCCTTCTTACTTATTCTTTCAGTTTTTCTAATTTATCCCCATACTTGACTACTCTTTTTCTAGCTTCCTCTACTAACTTCCCATATTTTATTTCCCTTCTAATAACATAGTCTGGTTCTCCTTTGTCTAATCTAAATACCTATTTTATATACTTTTGTACGTATTTTTTACTTGCTTTTTCTCTCTCAAACAATAAATTTCAAAAAATCATAATTTATATATTTATAAAGTACCTAATCATGCAACTGAACCGTTGTACAATCTACCTTTAAAGCTCATCGGCATCAATTATACACTTTGTACATAATGAAAATCCTATTAATTTTAACAGCATTTGTCAGTTTAAAGTATTAGAAAATTAATTTGAAACATTCGTTGAAATTTGAACAAGCATATTATCATTCAAAAACTCTAAGACAATTATTTATTTATTTAATAATAAATTGTTATTTACTGAAAATAAGAAATACCAGGAAATGAGCGTCTTTTTCTCAAAAATGCACTCGTATATTTGTTTGCACTCTTGGATTTTGTAATCATTACTAGAGATCAAATGAATATATGAAACAATAAAATGCCACTAACGTCTTAGTTCCTTACTGAATGACATAGTTATTAGACTATTTTGAAAATATTATGTAAAGTATTTTTAATCGATTAGGTAGATACAAAAATAGTCATTGAACATTAAAAAATTGATGTATGTTACCGTATGTATGTTTATCGTTTTAAGGTGTTCTTTGTAGAAGCAAATTAATTAATCTCATAAGCTGTTGAATTAAATTAACTTTAACAGTACTTCATAATATATTTATTGTATTGTAATAGTTATTTAACAATTACGTCAACTTACAAAAATTAGTTGATAGTGAATTATTTCTCTTTTTATTAATCAAATATATTTTATTTATTGTAATAACTTGGCTAACGAGACAGGGAAATAATGAAAACAATTTTTGTAATTTGATAGTATTTATTTATAACAATAGGAAAACTGTAAATNGGAAAGCCTGCATCAATTAAAAACGTTTTCATCTTTTTTATAAAAATGTAAATTATAATTTCTCAAAAAGGTATACTGTATAAAATCGGAAAAAACCCACCTGTCTCCAACTCCTAGTCTGCAACGCAAGCAAACAACCATCGTGTGTAATCCTTTAAAAATTTCCATGACAATGTCTCATGGCTGGTCATTTATTTAATATGAATCCCAATTACGTAAACCCATACGTCACCCGCGATATGTATATGTAGGTTAGCAATCCTATATTTAAACATTCGTAGCATTTTCATTTACCATCTTCAGCTTCTAACAGTGTCTGATAGATGGCGTGTTGAAATGGATCAGAGGTACGTTTGAAATCATTTATTTATAAGGCAATTATTGAGCACAGAGGGGAGGGAGAGGCGGGATAAGTATCTAAGCCGGTTTCATCAGCTTGACAAGCTAAAAACTACAGATATTATTTTTAGCTTGTCAAGCTGATGAAACCGGCTTAGATACTTATCCCGCCTCTCCCTCCCCTCTGTGCTCAATAATTGCCTT